TTATGTTGTAATGATGTTGTTTGTACTGTTCTTTGATTTTATTAAAGAGGGCCCCTGAATATCAGTTAACCTACTGGGCTAAACTGGAAGGGTTACCCTCTTTAAAGATGGTTGAAATAAAAATTTAAAAAAATAAATCCCATTCATGTTATTGTATTCTCTCCATTCATATACATGGTTAAAGGAATAATCTAAATTATTTTAAGTATTTAACATTTTTTCAGGTCACCCTTCTGCTCTCACCGAAGTAGAACTTTTTAGGTGTCGTGATGATTTAAGAAGTTACTACAAAACAAATTGCAAAATCCGACTTCTTCCTTGGTTAAAGAGAGATCCTCGCAACCGATTGGAAATGAAGGATTTATTCATTAATCTTTATCTTTTATATGAAATGCCAAATGCTTTTGATATAGAAGTCCGCATCAATAAGTATTCAGATGTATTTCCATTAACGCCTGGAGAAGGGATGCGGACCATTATTCGAGGAAAAGCCGGTGCAGGAAAAACAACCTTACTCGAAAAACTTGCACTAGAATGGGCCGAGGGAAGCCTCCCACCTACCTACAGCGATAAACCGCTATTATTTTTGTTAAAAATGAAACATATTACAAGCAATGATACCTTGGTTGATGCCGTCTTTCGTCAAGGACTATTTGGACGTAATATTCAGAAACTCAAGTCTAAGCTTAACGTTTTTATCGAGGATAATCCAAAGAAGATTATTCTACTGCTCGACGCAGTAGATGAGTATAGTGGGTATGGCAGTAATGGACAGCTTGACAGCATCATTCATAACGATTCAATGAAGTGTGCTTTTGTTATTGTGACGACCCGGCCGTGGAGAGCTTTTGAAATTCTCGACAGGTCGCCAGACACGTACAGCAGTCGGAATTATGAAGTGAAGGGATACTCTCAGGAGCAAGTTAGGGGATATGTAAGTCGTTTTTTTGAGAAGAAATCTGAAATGGGCGAGTGTTTGCTGAAGCAACTAAAAGAAACAGGTCTTGATACAGGCATTGCTACCATACCGATTATGTGTATGCTTATATGTGCTCTATTTCGTAAACGTAAATCTCTTCCCAAGACAATGAGTAAGATATATAAAGCGTTATATGATTACTTTATCCAACACTATGATGAAGACAAAAATGACTCTACAAAAGTGTGTAAAAATGAACAACTGGACACCTTTAAGAAACTCGGTAAACTTGCTTTCAGTGGCCTAATGCAAAATAAGTTGATATTTGAAAAAAACGAATTTGTCGACGTCAATCTATTAAGTAATGCATATAAGATGGGACTGGTTTTACAATCCAATCCTAATATTATGTCAGACAATGATGCAGAGACTAAAACACCGGTATCGGAGGAAGGGGAAGAGAGCGATTATTACGATTTTTTCCATAAAACATTCCAAGAATGGTTTGGTGCACGATACTTAGCAGATAAAGATATCGTTGCATTTAAACATTTATGTGAGCCTGTGTTTACTGACATCAACTCGTGCCTTGACAAAGAACTGCTCCTTGTTTTTTTGAGTGGAGAAAACTGTAAGGTTGCAGGATTGGTTACCAGTGAGCTCGTCCGTGTTTTGCTCAATTGTCCATATTTAGGAGACTATAATGAAAACAAGTTAGCTTTACAGAAAACAAGGTCTATGCAAGAGTTCATTGAACTAGTTTTAAAGTGTAATAGAGAGAGTCAATCTCAAGGGTCTTTAAATGATTTACTAAACAAAGTATTTGAGAAACAGTGCTGTGCGCGATTTACAAACATTACTACTAGTACCCTTCAAGCAATAACATATATGCTCAAGTTTGGAGGTGCGACAAACAACTGTGAAAGCCAGAACGAGTCTTCAAGCGCTGACTGCATGTCTACTTTTAAATTGCGTATTGAAGACCTCAAGATTAGCTGTTTTAGAGCAGAGACCAATGGTGATATTGATAATTTGTGGGGAGAATTCCATGCAGTTGGTGAACAACACAAAGAAAAATGTAAAAATCTGTCTATCCTACCCAATTATAAGCTTCAGTCGTATTTAGAAGAGGTAAAGGACGATTTGCCAGAGGGTGTACAACATCTACCACTGGCTCACAAGCTTGCCTTCGCAGACACGTGCAAGTTTATACAAAAATGGAAGGGAGACTACACTTACATGGGGTGTGTAGTAGAAAACATATGTTTCTCTGAAATAACAAATTTGACAATTAACGGCATAGATATGTCAGACCATTGTGAGATACTTTGTAAAAATCTAGAAAACATGAAATCACTCAAGAAAGTGGATCTGTGTTCTACGTCATTGAAAGTGATGCACTGCAGATACATTGGCAAAATGCTAGAGTCGCTACCATGCTTATGTGTATTGAATCTTTACGAAAACATGCTAGAAGATGTACGTGAGATCGTACAACGACTGGAATACATACGATGCCTAACTAGATTAGATTTGGACGTCACCAATCTGACGACAGAAAGCATCGCTGCTCTTGCTCAGAATCTAAAATGGGTGAAAAATCTGGAAAGATTATACATACGTTCTAGTTCCTTGGAGAATAGTGTGGTGGATGATTTAGTGAACGGCTTAAATGAGATTTGCGACCTTAGACGTCTGAGTATTACGCTAGGAGACGAGCTGTCATATGAAAACATTAACATTCTTGTCAAATGTTTAAGTAAGATTAGAAACCTCGAGCTTGCATACATAGACGGTTTGTTTTCACCGATGATAAACAAAGTGTTTCAGTTGTTAGTTACAGATCTTCTGCCACACCTAAAAAAGTTAAAATCCTTACGGCTTCAAGGTAGATATGGCTTATCTGTCAAGGAAACAAAGCGTTATGGTATAAGCAATGCAACCGCTAAATTGTTAGCTACAAAGCTCAATACAGGTAGTCTTCCTAATTTAATGGTACTACGATTGACCTATTTATGGATAGAAGAGGAGGGACTAGAAGCAATAAGCAGTGGGGTCAGACGTCGCAAACAAGAGAACAAGAGTTTTCAGTAAGTGCATTTTGATAACCCTTCCATTTTTGTAAGATCTTTTCAATTTTTATCAGTTCAATAATGATATACTGCACTTATACATAGGCCTAATCGGATGGTACATAGATTTATAGATATATTTCGCTTCTAAAGGCAGTTAGGCCTATGTTTACTAGGCTGCTGATACATTGTCTTCATTTAAGGAAGTATAATTTCAGAGATATGCAAGAATATTTAACATTTTGCTTTGAACCTAGGCCCCTATTTTGCATAACCGCCATTTTTAATTTGCCGTTAGACAAAACGTCTATTGACTTCATATTAAGGACAATTGTATTATTGAACCAGACTGAATCTGTATGTTCCATCTGTGGTCATATGATGGCAAATACTGAATAAAAGTAAAAATATTCATTTTTGTCAAAGCTGTTATAATCATTCTAAAATCATAAGCGCTTCATATGTTAGATTATGCTGTACAATATATTCTTATTTATTTTAGGTTTGAGTTGTACCCCAACGACAATAATTCTGTGTATGTACCTCAAGCCGTTCTTTTAACTAATCTGAACACTGACGCAAAGAAAGATTGCAACGCTACAAAGGAACCCAGTTACTAAGTGGAGCTGTCACACCGTAGGGCCTCGGTTTTGACTATCTTGGTTGATTATATCTCTTCTATTGTCTCTTCGGAGAGTTGGATTAGGACTGATAACAAAAGAGGAGGAATATGAAATGATTAGAAATACAGGGTATTTAACTTAGCCAAAGTCTGGAATCTCACACCTGATACAAGTGAGCTGAAGGCAAACGGACATGGTCGCTATGCCAGTAAGTACCGGTACATACCTTATATTTATAATTAATTCTGCGAAAGGTTAAACTGATCCTGGTTAGGGTTATGGAAATAGTTATAGTCGACAAAATAGGCTTACATAACATGAATCTTGCATATTTTGCCTGACTCTTATGTACGTTGATACTGCCTTCTGTATCTTAACATTTTGATGTACTTTGGCTGTAAATAATGATTTTGTTTTGTCCAATTATCAGGTTACAGGTATAACGATTAAGTAATAATTATAATTTAACTTAGAGGTAGATACATATTATTAATCACGATTTTAAATATATAAATATTTAGTGACATGCCTTATTTATCTAACCTCTCTTTATTTTGACCTACATATGTTTTAGTATTTTGGTTCCTATTCTAAATTTTACATATTATTATTTATAATAATATACAACTATTTTTAACGCGCCAATAATCAAAGGCACTAAAAGAACACCGTGAGCAGTGTATGAGCCTGCATACAAACAAGATCGCCGTCGGTTCACCGGTCCGCGCGTTTCTCTGCGCTTAAATACGGTACAAGTACAAGTTATTATATTGAGTTTTTTGGAAGAGCTAATAAGATAGAATTGTTTAAATAATTAGAATGTTTATTTGCACAATTTGTTTTTTAATAATTAGAATATATATTTGTAGAAATTTCAAATGCAAATGCAAAATTGTTAAAATTGAAAAAAAAAATATTACCAAGACGCTATTCGAACTCATCGACCTTTGGCGCTCTTTAGAACACATCCTTAAACGACCACACCATCGATGCGACGTGCACTATTAGTCGTAATGGCAGTAATCTACAGTCCTTGCTGAAACCCCTGTTTTGTTTTTTGGTCCAACTTAAAAAAGGGCGATGAACACTTCAAAACTGGCGAGAACAACAACAACAATTTTTAAAACAAGAGTTTTAATTTCCAGGTTTCTATGGTTAAGTAAGGAAAAAGTCTGGCTTAGAAAAAATTAATCGGAAAAAGGAAACAATATATTGTATACATTCTTTCATTCTTTCTTACTTTCTTTCTCTTACATTTTTCAAAGTAACGTAATATAACACTTAGTAAACAACAATAAGAAAAACAAATATTACTCTACTTTTGATCAAGAATAAAACCTCCATACAGTAACAACTATCACAACAATAAGAAATGCTAAAAAAGACGTAGTAATTAATCCTAAAATAAAACTATAACCATTTAAACATTATAAAACATAAAACCTAAATCCAAAGACGCATATGTAAATCTCTGAATAGTGTACGAGTAGAATTACCAGAAACCCATTTAAACAAGAGGGAGAGCTAATATAGGCCTATTTCAAAACGTCTTTGTCCACTCAAACAAATGAATCTAAGGATCCAAGAAAATCGTTGAGCAGTGTGTATGGCCCCCACAGAAAGTCCTTTAAACAGTCAGGATTAATCCTCACAATTTAAAATGTTTTAATTACTTTCTCAAAGGAAAAAAAAAACAAACAAACATGTTGTTTGTGGTAAACATGGCCATTTGTAAAAGCAATAATATCCTCAGGTGTGGCTCTCTAAATTAACTGATCTACCATCATGCCGATAGGGGAAACCATGTTTTTTTTAAATTTTTTTTAAAGTTTATGGTCTTTGCAGAGCGTAATGATTGTAGCGCCACTAAAACTGTCATAATTATTATATCTTATAGGTCTTGGATTTGGCACAAGAAAATTCGAAGGCAGAGTTATGACGGGAGTTCTGTAATAACGGATGAAAGGGTGGTATTTATCATCAAATTACGTACAACAGTCGGATTCTATTGTCGCAAACGCCATTAGTTTACTGTTGACAAACTCACCCAGATGGTGAAGGATGCTGTCTCTGGAAATGTCAAAAGCATTTGAATTTGGAACACTCGTAGAATTGTTCATTTTTTTTATGAAACTGGGCAGATGGGCAGAAGTAATACAACGGAGAATGTTCAAAGGACAAAGTTCAGGCAAGAAGAATGTTAAGGCAATGAGAATGATCGGACAAACTCAAACTTAAAAGAACTATGGCCAGTGGGGTTAAGGCCAGGGTAATCAACTAAGAGCAAAGTGGGGTTCAGAGGCCTAAAGCGTGCTTCTTTAAGTTAAATTTACCTTAACGTCGACTCCGTCTTAGAAAGTACCAGGATTAATCACACCAGGATTAATCACCACGCTGTTTTTGTATTTTTTGCAGCGAAGGGGCGCTACCAATAAACAATCAACAAACTACCGGTTTTCTGGGTTAATTTGCAAGGTACTACATGGCTCAACTATTTTTTTACTTATGGGTTAATTGGTAAAACCCGCACACAAAACATACGACGTAACTGACAACACCGGGGACGGTAATTCGATTTTGACATTAATTTTCCCAATAAAGTTATACTAAATAACTTCTAATGACGAACTATTGTCTTCAGTTGTCTTTGTTGGTCATTCAACTGTCATTTTATCTATTTCTTTGTGATATTACTATATTACTATTCTCAATAATCTATAAAACACCCACATAACAACGTCACATTAAGATCGATCGGTGGGGACGCCATGGTGACGCCGGTGGGGTCAATTTTCGTCGGAAGGTATCAAGATGATAAACAGTTCATTGGACTAAATTCTTGCTTATGTTAACCACATACTTACCTAAGATTATACTGACACTGGTTTCAAATGAAATAACTGAAAAGTTTGGTTTGTATCAATGTTTTAATAAGTATATAAAACTACGTCACAAATACGTATGCAAAAATGCACATGGACACCACGCTGTTTTTGTGTTTTTCTTGAAATCTGTATGCCTGATCACCATCATCATACACAGTATAATAGATTCAAGTAAGATGTTTCAAATGATATAAAAATGTATGCAAATACAGGGGCGAATCCAGGATTTCAAAGAGTGGGGGGTTCAGAAAGTTCCGAAAAAATAAAATGTTGATTCTTAAATAGCCGGAAATGAGCTTTCCCCGACTTCTGAGGTGTCTAATGACCTTTTAAGTTCTCCTAAATTCAAGGTTTTCACTCTCTTGAAAACGGTCAGGTAAATTTATCTCATTCTTAGGCCTATACATATAGAGAGAAAAAAAGATATATTATGATATTCCAACAATATTGAGTAGTTGGATACGTAGTCTTCCTCCATAAATCGATAGCCCAGAAGAACACACTTTCGTACATAGGCCTAAATTATCACGACATTTAACCAAAAACAGTGTTAGTTGGGCTAAGATAAGTTTGTCTGATCTGCCAACCTATGTAGGTAGGCCTAGGTTAGCATGCCTTTTGTAAGCCAGGATCCATTAGTATTTTGTTACGGATCCGCCACTGTCGTGTAAACTTTACTAAATACGAATGAGGACAAACGAAAGTGCAATTTAAGTGGCTCATGTGCGTCAATTTACTTTTGTAATGCGTGGTTTAATCATAGTTTCATGTTGAAAATATACTATCAAAACATTTGTACTTCAGGTATGAAAACTTGAAAGTTTCAGTGTGGCTTTCAGTTGAAAATTATAACAAAGAAAACATTTTTTTTTTTCAATTTAATGTGTCTATGTCTTCGCATAACCCATAAATATATGGCAGCAAATTAAGGAATCTATAATAATGTCTGTAAATTAATTTAATAAATTTTAAAACTTTACGTGGTTCGGTTAAATGATGAGTAATTCGAAGTTGTTTTCATTTTTTGGCATTTTAAATTGATGTTGTGGGTGATAGTATCTGTTAATTGACTGCCACAAGAATCAAGTGGGTGGTTCTTCTCATACCCGTTATCCTTCGCGCGTATATAAAACGACGGACGAGATTTATTGGCTTCAGGTTCGATGTGTCGCGTCTGAGTGCTTGACAATGGTCATGGGCTAAAAAGTTGACGGAACGTTTAAAGACAATTTTAGAGAAAATAAATGAATAATAAGAGTCGATAGGTAGCCATTTTAGTCGGTAAATACAATATAAAAAAAACACAAAAAAGGCACTTTGGATATTACATATCTCTCTGTATGCTTATTTTACCTTTAATATTCCACTTTCAGTACTTCAGAGACTGAATGACGCCCTCTCGTGGTATGAACGTTTTGGTATGCATTCCCGAGAGCAATCATGTTACTATAATATTATTGTGGTGAAGCATGAAAAAAGGAGCTCTGTACCAGGTTCGATGGGTCGAATCGCGTCTAAGGGCTTGGCATATAATTGGCGTCGTGGGCTAAAAAAGTTTGCGGAACGTTTAAAGACAATTTTTAAGAAAATAAATGAAAATAAGAGTCGATAGGTAGCCATATCTTAGTCGGTAAATACACAATAAAAAAACATACAAAAGCACTTTGGATATTATATCTCTGTGTATTATTATTTCAGCTGAATGACGCCTTCTCGTGGTATGAAAGTTTCTGGTATGCATTCCAGAGAGCAATCATGTTGCTATACCTTGATATTTTATTGTAGTGAAGCATGATAAAAAGGAGCTACCTGCTACATGCCAATAATCATTGTCCAATGTGTAAACTAGGCAAGACAATATGCGAAATATGAATATTATATCTCATTCTTTACCTGTATAAATATTAATTACACATATCATTAATTATGTACAGTATATTTATGATATTCATTTTTGAAAAGCTAATACAGTATTCAAATTTTAGATTTTTTTTCAAATTTTATTAATAACTTCTGAATACCTGGATATCCGTAAATATCTATTTTAAGTTTAATAAAAGATGAATCAAGTCACTGAAGTAAAATCACCAACTGAAGGAAGAGGTTTATCAAATTGTTTATGAAACTTCATACAAGTTTTTTTCTAAATTATTATAATTCAAATAATAATAATAATAATTAATACCTATTGAATACTTTGCAAAGTGTTTAATGCAATTTAAATTTCTGGTACAATATAACATTGACCTAAAAAAAAATGGAAGACACAATGACAACATTAATTACAGACTGTATTGAAATAATTCCTAATTTATAATGTAGAGGTTTGTCTAATATGCAAAGATAGATTTAATTATAATTAAATAGTTAATCCCAATTGTTGGAATGGCCTAAAAGCTGTTTTTGAGCTTCTACTAAACATTAACCTAAATATAATGGCAAGGCTAATGACAAGATTAATAAAATATTGAAATATAATCTGTAACTGATAAGAAAGAGGTTTATCACAATACTCTTGTCCAATGCTGAAAAATTTAAATCAAAACATAACTATAATTAAATAACTAATCAAGATTGCTTGGATAGCCTTAAAGCTTGTTTTTGAGCATCCAGTAAAATATGACATTAAGCTAAAAAATAATGGACAAGTTTATGACAAAATTAATCGAATACTGAAATAAAAAATTGATAAGAAAGCGGTTTATCACTCTCCTCTTGTTAATTAGTAATAGGTCTCCCTCATACTCACCGGTCCCAAAAGTCTTTCATCTTTATTATTCTAATTGGAGACTTATACGTTCAGACTTGGATATAAGCCAGGCTTAGGTTAAGCCCGGCTCAAGGTTAAGCCCGGCTTAACTTTGCTGGGCGTTCAGACTAGCGGGATTAGCCATGCGCGAGCATTTGCATTAATGAACCGTAACCAAGAAACGAGCTTCAAAACATTGCGCTTGAAACGTATGCTCACTCACAGAACGCAGCGCTTAAAGCCCGGCTTAGAAAAGCTAAACCCGGTGGCACGCCAAGCCTAGTTACTATAGGAACACAACCCGGCTGGAGATAAGCCCCCTAGTTCAGACTGGCACGTGAAAAAACCTGGTGAGTTGAGCTGGGTTTATCCACCTAGTTTGAACTAGGCCTAAAGCTGCTAAGGACCATAGAAACCCCGATCCAAAAAGTGGTCTTTAATTGGAGGGTGACCTGTGTTTAATAAATCAAGAGATAACAATGGTGGATTGGCCTATCTTTCAATAGGCAACAAACTGATGTGCCTTTGGGGTATGGCACCATTTTGAGATGGGAAAAAATGATAGTTGAGATAAACAACACTGAACAAAATTACTCTGTAGTTGTGAGCCCTCCCACATTCCCCAGAGCCCCTTGTATAGATACTGGACTCATGGAAACTATAAGAGAAAATGGGGGAGCTGATGATGGGGGGGGGGGAGTGGGAGGTTGGTGATTAAGTCAGGGGCACTAGGTCGGAGATTTTAACTATTTGAGCATGATTGTTTTTGGCATTGTCATTGGGTGGGTGGGGGGAGAGTCACAGTCTGAACCTGGATAACAAAAAAATTAATTGAAGAGATAATCCTGACCGTTGCGATGGTATCCGACCAAATTATCGAAACCAAGTTTGCTGAAACTCAGTTTGCCAAGTCCATGGTCATTTTACCGAAACTCAGTTTGCCGAATCCATTTCACCGAACAGTATGACGTCACCGTCTTTCACAAGTATTCTTACTGTGCTTTTGAAAACATGATGGGTGGGTCAGGCAGGAGCCGTACTTATATATAAATTAAAAGGCAATGAACTGGTCCGAGGCCACAACGAGATCGTCAGACCAAAATTAATAATTTACCTATCAAAATAACATTATTTTAAACTCTCTCCGCAAGCTCTACCTGGGATTTTTAAGCCGGTAACCTGACCGAGGCTCTAGTGGGCCTCTTGCTTCAGGCCCTCTGTAGGACACCTTGTTGACAAATTTCTGGAGCCACCATTGACACGTGTGTATATTTTAGATACATATTATCATCACGTGTGTATATTTTAGATACATATTATCATCTTACTAAAACGTTATATATACTTTATTAATATGCTTTTATAAGACATTTTATCTGATAGACCTGTTTTTTCAATTATTTTTGCTGATAGCCGAATTGTTATCAACTTTGATTTACAGAACGCTATATGAATACAAAGTGATCGCATTGCGTTTGAATGACTTCTAAACAAATTCTCAATTGTTCAGATGCAGTCATGGTAAGAGAGTGATCCATCATGAATGTTATGCCGTTGTAAATTTTTCACTGCTTTTTATTGACTTTCGGCAAACTGAGTTTAAACCAATTGGGATCCGTGGTTTTGATTCAGGAAACAGGCATCAGGCAAACTGGCATTCGAAAAGTGGACTCGAGAATCTGGCATTTTGTCAAACTGGGGGTTGGCAATCTGGACTAAATCCGTTACGATATGGCACAACAGCAATTTACTAGCATTCTATTCATAAATGATTCTCAGGGACTTCTTTGATACTGTAGTATCCCGACGATATCTGCTGCTAATATGTTGCTTTCGGCAAACTGAGTTTAAACCAATTGGGATCTGTGGTTTTTGATTCAGCAAACAGACATTCAGGCAAACTGGCATTCTAAAAGTGGACTCGGGAATCTGGCATTTTGTCAAACTGGGTTTTGGCAATCTGGCCTAAATCTGTTATGATATGGCACAACAGCAATTTACTAGCATTCTATTCATAGATGATTCCCAGGGACTTCTTTGATACTGTAGTATCCTGACGATATCTACTGCTAATATGTTGCTTGCGTTGTTTTGGCTTGTAAGCGATACTTGACTAACTTGGCTGTAAATCTGAAAAAAAGTAAAACAAATTGTTAGCTTCAAATACAACATAACAAAAGTTTGAGCATTTTTGAAATTTGCCCTGGACTATAATTGGCATTGGTACCTAAGGGCTAAGTGACTTTAGTCACCCATTTTTTAGTATGACATTGACTGTTATTTTTAATACCATATTTCTTTATTTTTATATAATTCATGTTACTTTATACATAAAAAAATCTGTATTTATAATAAGACCACGCGAGTGAATTGGATTGGATTGGATATATTCAGTGTTAACACCAATGATAACCCATCAAAATCCAAAGAAGGATTATTTCCAGTGGGGTCGTTGGGCAGCACACCAGAAGACAATCCCCCTAATCTTTTCCAAAGAGTGTACTACGTTCTTCAACGTGCCACACAAGCCACAATACACACGGGACCAACAACTTAAACGTCTCATCCGAAAAATGGTATTGAAACCTTCATTTCAGCCCTCCAGTTGAAACACAAGGAAAGCAGTTTTGGGAATTGAACCAGTTAACCACCAGTTAAGTCGACTGAGCTAACCGCTGCTCTGTCTCTTTAATTGAACCAGGAGCCAAAACATCTCCACAGTTCAGTGCACACACACTGACTACACCAGTTAAGTCGACTGAGCTAACCGCTGCTCTGTCTCTTTAATTGAACCAGGAGCCGAAACATCTCCACAGTTCAGTGCACACACACTGACTACACCAGTTAAGTCGACTGAGCTAACCGCTGCTCTGTCTCATTATTTGAACCAGGAGCCGAAACATCTCCACAGTTCAGTGCACACACATCGACTACACCAGTTAAATCGACTGAGCTAACTGCTTCTCTCTCTTATCAACATAATGTTTAATTATATTTTTCAGTTTATCTAAGTGGCAGAAATAAAAGACTCACCTTGAAAAAGAGTTGTCAAAGACCAAAGTGTACAAGCCAGCCTGCTTGGTCGTCAACTCGCCTTGAATGGCTTCTCGATGTGCATTACAGCGACACAATGGTATCAGTTCTGTGACCTCACAGTCTTCTGCCGTACCACGATATAAAACAGCAAAACCAATACTCTAAAAATAAGTATAAATATAAACCACCACGTCAAATAAAAATGCATAATGTAGCTTTGAAAATATAACAACCAACATTCAACAAAGTGAATTGAACAGTTTCAATAAATGAAAATATTCTTCCCATTGCACAAATACAAAATGTTTTTCATTTCATAATACACCTAAATTAGATCTTTGTCATTTGATATTTTATGAAAAATAAAGTTAGGTCTACCTTTCTTCAGTATACACATAGTACACTAGTTATAGGCAGAGGGGAAGATGAACACTCCTATTTAAAAAAATCAAAAAATATCAACACTTGTATAGAACCTAGCTAGTTTTAGATATAGTGAGCCAGGCCAGCTGGGCTCCCTTGAATCCACCACTGCTCTCCCCAATATTTGCATTAACAAGCTACCTTTGGACTTGATGTGAACTCCCACCAGATGCTTACTCCTGGTTCTTCCACCATAATGGGGATTCCATGACCAACACCAGCATCGATGTCAAGTTCATTAAACTCATCAGAGTTCTCCTGAATTTGTTCTATTGTTCTGTTGTCCCAAATAATCAAACTGCAATAAATCAAGATATTCTTGATTTTAACATGTACAGATACATATCACACTTGTTTTCTATTGATTCAGATAGAGATAAATATAATTACAACCTACACAAAAAAAATTGACCTTTCTATCAATCAAGCCCAACAAGCCAAAATAGACGGGAAGTGGTACATGTAAGTCTTTGCACCTTTCCTCTGATACTCATAATTGAGTGGGAGCAAAATCGACACTACATAAACACAAACCACTGTAACTTGAATTGGTACTGCTATGCAAAACACATAAACTATACAGTTAAAATTATTTTATTTTTCCTGTACCTTTCTTCAGTAACTGTTCTTGAGCGCTCTTTTGGTTCTTCATCAACAACTCTGATCACACTGATCTCATCTTCACTAATAATTGAGAATTCGTCTCCTGAGGCCTTTGTAGGGGTGTCTGGTGACTTAGGCATTGTGGCATAATTGAACATATCTTGATCACTGAGAACAAAAAAGAGAGAAGTCAGAGTTTCAAATTGTAAAACTGTCAATCTTCTGCCACCCTCCTAATGCTTTCATTCTAGTGTTGTCACGACTAATTTCTCATTAATTTGTAAAGTATTCTTAATTCTTGTTTAATTTTTCGCTGGAACTTGCGGCCACACCACCGCTAGCGATAAATTATTCAGTAAATTGGGAAATTAGGAAACAAATCTCTTGCTCTTTAAATAGTGTTAAGGGTCTCAAGTTGGAAAAATCTACTTTGAGGAGATCGGTTAAAGGAGCTTACACATCTAATACTATATTACTTCAAGTGGTGGTGCCCATCGCCAGCTGAATTTTGGGAGACAATTGATAATATCATAGCAGTAAACATATGAACTTGCAGGAGATGGGTTAATTTTATGGGAGATTTTTGCTTACTCAAGGGAGTTCTGGAGGCTGTCCTGTGACTAGCAGGAGATTTGGGACCCCTGTAGTGTTGCAATCAACATAATTGCTGTTGCAATCAACATGGCAGCTTTTTATGACAGTTTTGCTATATATGTAGCAGCAGTCTCACACACCAGTCTTGCAATAGTCTCATGCAAGAATTTTGCAATTAATATAGCCGTCTCACATAAAGCCTTGCTTTCTATGAAGTCCCTTTTCTATACTAATGAAAATCAGTGGTAAATCTATGAATTTGAATAAGAGGAGGCCCAGGAACGGACTTCCACAGAGAGAGGGATCATCCACATCAGCCACACCATGGTTGGGGCTTAGGTGAGAAAAATTATGATTATGGCACCTCTATATGGCCAGATATTATACTCTAGACTTAAAATTGAATATAATTTTCTTTTTTTCTTTATTTTTTATATAATTTTGAAAATTGATTGATTGATTGATTGATTGATTACTATGAAAAGATACTTACCCTGTCATTGAACTTCCTCTAATTTCGCTCTCTGTTGGCGACTGCTCTTGGTGCAGGGGCAAGCTTGAGTAGTCAAGGCTGGTCCTGCTGTCTTCATATCTCATACTAGTCTCTAATCCACCATGTTTGTCATGTGGGTTGAATGTTTCTTCTTCTTCATCATCACTTTGGACCAATAAAGATGTGCTATTTGATGATGGCCCATCATTCACCTGGCTATGTTCATGTTTTATGTAACAGGGTTCACAAACACGAACCTTTTTGCTAGCAGGAATAAACATAATTTAATAAACTTTAAATTATATCACATATATCTATTTGAAATCATTGACATAGTATATTGACAAAATAACCCAACGTTTCATGCTATTTTTAGGAACAAAATAGATTTTTGGACTATTTTAATTAAAATACCTTTTTAAACAAATGTAATTAAATTCTAAATATTTAATATACATTTTAATGATTTGTAAACTTATAATTGCTGATCAGTCCTATATTTATACCTTTTTACTTTTATATTTAGTCACACAATTCAGCTGCAATGGACTGTTTTTGTTTGTTATTTTTTACTGAATAAATATACCCAAATATATGTTAATATATTTCATTAAATAAAAAATAATGATACTATGTACTAAAATACTACTGTATTACAATACTGTTTTACTACACAATTTTCTCGCTTATCATTTGTAAAGGAAAATCTTACTTGCTTGAGGATGACATCACAAAATTATTAGAACACTTGCTGCAAAAAATGCGCCCACAAAGTCTGCAATGATGACGTCGCACTGTCAGACCAAACTCTGTATCGCACTGCATACAATTCTTAACCTAAAAATATTTTTAAAAACATTAATTTCAACAACCATTATGGTAATTGATCCAGCAGAAGTGACAAAGGAAAATGTGGCCCTTCTGCCTATAGGTCATAGGCCGTTAAGCAATAGCTGTCTGTTGGTTGCCATGGAAACTGTCAACAGGCTCTGTCCACACAATAAATTGTTATGTCATATCACCTCCATATATGGGTATGATGATGATGACAACAACACATTTACTGTATAGGTCTGATAATTTCATATCACACCAGGTTTCCCAAGCTGTTAGAAGACACTTCTGGAGACCTGGTAAAAATGAGTTTTCTGAATGCATCTAATTATATTTTGCTATGCATTATAATACCCATTGTCACTGACTTCCGTTCAACAACAGATAATAAAGTAGTAAAAACATGCAAATATTATGAATTTTCTTACTCAGTGTTCTCTGCACATATTCGGTAATTGTAGTACAGTACTATTATTTGTACAGATTTATCTTCGATAAATTCTAATACACCTAAACTATAAATGCTCACATCTCTAGATCTACTTATCCTACAGTAGGTAAGTCATTCAAAAGACCAAATTAAAGCTTATAATTAATAATGTGATCTACCCAAATATAAACTCATTTTTTTATTTTCTAACCATAAGACTCATTTTGTGGTGAGACCTCACATATATTGGTCACATGAAACTTCATAGTGTGGGCATTTGCCAAAATTAAAAGTTTAATTATCGTTATCTTCAAACCCAATGAATATAGTTAACCAATACTGATTCCCATTCAAAATGTACACGTAGTCAAACTCATAATAGGCATTTTTTGTATTGACTACGCGGCCAGTCTACTACGAACTAATGGACTGTGACGGCAACGCCAAGACACTGTTCGCGTACTACACCAAGAGCTGTTTTCGTTTTGTTAAGGCGACTACGATGATGCAGCACACGTACGTAGGCCTACGGAGGGGAATTAGTCGAATATGGTTTTATTTCCAGGGAACAATGTTCCCTTGTTTTATATTTGAAAAAGGAAATATGAATAAAAACTCAAATACTGTATAACAAAATAAAAAGTTTCCAGAAAACACTGAGTGATGTTTCGCTGTTGGCTAGGATAGGCCTACGCTAGGCCTAGCCTAGGCCTAGGTGGTGTCAATAGAGTTGGGAACCGGGAGGAGAGGGGTGTCAGGCCTGCTCAGGCAATTTGCCAAATGCAATGATGATGTACAAGAAATAAATGTACGTAACAATTTTAAACAGAGGTATTTATATAGCAAGGCTTGATCCACGATACCATGGGCACAGATGCCCTAGCTAGCGGCCTACCCGAAATCCACCCTGACAAGGCTAGGCTAGCCTAGGCCTAAGCCTAAGAAGCCCCTTTTTTCACTATCCCCTGATTTACCTAATTTTCTGTTGTGACTATTCATTCCTCATTTATTGTATGTGTATAAATAGGCCTTCATAAAACATTTAATTACTCACTTGTTTTAATAATTAATTCGTTATTGAACGAACAATGCTCGATCGCAGATGCGATGAAAATTGCAATCCCCAACAAAAAAATTACCAGCAGTTTGCCAAAGAATCCAGTTATCTGATTGGTCAATATTAGGGTAAAAAGACAGAATAAATAACCAAATAAATAAACTTACATCCTTGTCTTCCAACCACCTCTCAGAGGCTTTCTGCTTGAACAAGTAGTCCAACTTCTCCGTCCTCTGCCACAATGTATCTTTCTCTCTTTAGAAAAAAAGAATTCTGATAAATCAAGATTTTCCAAACATGCCATGTCAAAAGGAAAAACTGTCACAGCAATGGATCAACATTAAATGCAGCCACACGATTACTCAGAAGAACATGAGAGGACAGGTATCGGCCACGGAAGATATTATTAAAGAGTCAATGCAAATCAGTATCAGGCAACCTACCCTCAACGGTGCATATGGGTACGAGCTACCAGCAGTACTGAAGGAGGTGTATATATAATGTATATTTAACTAGCCATAACTCAAACTTTCCTATATCCATAAGGTAACGAATAGGCATACTACTGGCTAAATATCCACTCACTTTATATGCTTTATGCTATGTCTACACTATCAAATTTTCTTTGACAAAAAACTGTTCTATGCCCATATGTAGTCATGATGTACCTATATATGGTCATGATGTGATGTTATTACATGTTTTAATGAAATTTTATGTGACAAATGTGATATGACCATATTTGGGTTTAATATGACATCATCATGCCACATATGGGAACAGGATACAAATTTGGAACATAAAAGTTTATAATGTGGACAGTCCTTAAAATATATTAGTAAATCAAAAAAACAAAAAAAGAAGTCAAACCTGAGTAACTTGACCAGCCTCTTCTTCAATTCTTTATTATCATTGGCGATCTGAGTAATCTGTGCTTCCAACTTTACTTCCCGGTCGGTTTTATCATCACGGAGCACTTCAAGATCATGCTGCAGCATACAGATCAGATGTGCTTATTATTTACAATTATAATAATAAATGATAATCAAAATGAAAATAATAATAATAGCAAAAAAACAACCATAATAATAATAATTAATAATAATAATAATATATTAATATTTATATTACGCCAAATGTAAAAGGTCTTAAAGTGCTGAAGATGAGGGGAAAAAAATGATCCTATATGTACACCTATATGTAATACTATCAAACACTGATTGTAAATTTCATAACCTTAAAAATTTATATTAATAAATTAGATTTATATAGCTCCTTACATTGAAAACAATCACAAAGTTCTTACTTAAATGTTACGGTAAGTGAAAAACTTAAATAATAATGAATTTTACTTTGCAAGTTTATTAGCTTTAGAAACAATAATATTATCTTAAAGTTACTGTACAATTAGTGGCGCATCTAACGGTATGCATGCATCAACAAAAATACTCACCTCTCCACCCCTGCAACCAGTCACTCCCCCTCCCACCTCAAATCACTTTATTGTGCAAGGTAGTGCCCCTCACCTAATCTTCAATCCCCCACTGAATCTTCACTGCCCATCACCGGCCCACCCTCCCCATTTCTAGAATCCTAGATACGCCACTGTGTACAATGTATATTTATATATTCAAAATAGTGGACATTTTAATACTGATGATAAAATTAACAAAAACCAAACGTCATAAAAGTTATAAACTTACACGCATCTTATCCTTACTAGATTTTTCTTCTTCCAGTAATTTACTCAACTATAATCAAAACAACAAAACTAGTATAAAACCATATTTTTCATATATTTATTTAATTTTGATGTTTAATTTATTTGTTTTATTTCCAAGCCCAAAGAAATGGTTATTGATTTCCATGCAATATACTAAAAGGAAACTAGAAATATCATAATTAATAATAATCCAGTGGAGAAGGTATCCAGTTAAAAGTACCTGGGTGTAAAATTTGATGACAAATTAAATTTCTTTGACCACATTGAATTTGTCAGAAAGAAATTAAATACTCACATGTATTGCCTTATGAAAATGAATCATTCAATGTTAATACTAAAATCATTACCATGTTCTATTCATCTGTGGTTTGTGGGGTGTGGAGCTACAGTATTTCTTAACAGGTTGGGGAGGTAATGCGTGTCAATGTGATAAAGAATTAATACACCGTTCGATCAAAAAAGTCAGTAGAATTACAAAGACACATCTGCATTCAATTGACTCTCTATATCATGATAGGGTGACAGCTATTCCGTCATATCCTGAATGATGAAAGTCATCCGCTTCATGATATGCTTCTTAGCTTTGTTAACCCTAGGAGTGGTCGTATTAGAGTACTGATTGCAAACACCAACAGATATCAATAAACTCATTTATCACTAAGGATATGAAATAGTTCAATGAAAATCATAAAAGGTAGATAATAAATAATATTAGTAACACAATAATAATAAAGGTGATGATAATAATGGTAATGATAAAAATAATAATAATTATTGTTATTAATAAAAAAATAAAAAAATAATAATAAATAACATATGGTATTCCTGTTGAGTAGTTTCTCCTTTTTAAATATTGTAACCCATTTTTTGTTCAAACATTTTTCATTATCTTTAATTATTGTACACCTCCTATAATTTTAAATATTTTTGTGCTTCTGTCATTGGATTTTTATGGAATTTTTATGTTGATACTTTTTATCCTTGATAAATTTTAACATGATTTTCTTTGAATTGTACTTTTTGGCAAGCTTTGTAATTTCTTCCTTTTTATTGGAGAGAATAAATTTTATCTTGTAGCTTGTATCTTGTATTTATCTTATTTATTTGCCCATGGGTTTCTAATCAAGATATTTGATTCTTTTGAGTATTACAGTACATACATTCAGATTTATGTTACCATTGATTTTTATTATCTATATTATTATATTGCACTAGCATGGGCAAATTATTTAAAGAATATTAAACATAATTTTGAAATCCATAGTTGAAAAATATTGTATACTATTAATTTTAAAGTTTACAGCATTCATTTTGAAAAGAACCCCCTCTTTAGTTTTCAAAAGTAATCTCGAAAAGAAGCCCATCCAAGGCTCCTAAAAAAAAAAGCCAAGAGCTCCTATTCAAGGTTTACTGTAGCACAAAATTAGCTAATTGAGTGGGGTTACTAACCTCTTCAGATTTGTTGACAGCAATTTCTAATTCCTGTTTACTACATACAAGATTGTGATTGGCAATGGTCAGCTATTAAATAAAAAATACATTTGATTCATTACCATGTCAAGTAATTGACTGTGTGCTAAAATGAACTCATGCGCTCTACAAATCCAACCATTATTATTATTATTAAATAACAACCCAATTCACACTATTTTAATTTGATACAATTTGATGGAGATACTATAGTATAAGGACCTGTCCAGACTATCAAATTTCATATGACAAAAACATGTGACATGCCTAAATATGGTCATGATGACATCACATCACGACCATATATAGGCACATCATAAAATATTAACAGCAGCAATAAAAATAATAAGAATATTGCTATTTTCTTTCCCATTTTTGAGAGTAGACCTATGAATTACAGAATGTACCTGTTTGATGCTTTACATGTCATAATTTGACTTTGTTATTTTAGCAATAACAAGACCCTCTGAAAAACCTGGTAGAAGCAATGAGGCTTAAGCTATCAAACCTTTTCCCTGTTGGACAGGCTAAATTCCATATTTGAACATAATATAATTTCCAGAACAGCTTAATATGGCCATGACAATGATGGGACTAAGGTGGTCTACACCCTTCATCTGTAAATGTCCCTCCCTCGGCCCCTGTCTACAGTATTATAAATTCCTAGATCAGCCACTGATTGCCACACTACAACTGCTTTTAACTACCATAAAATACAATGTTATTATAAATGGTCCTGCAACCTCATTTTGCATTATAATAAACAGATCATCAGAGAAATCAGGAGCAGATGCAGAGAAAAATCTGGGTAGGGGCATGCGACATCTTTGACATACTATAATAATTCTTGACCACAACCCTTTGTATACGGAATTTAAATAAAAAATTAACATGGTTTGGAGTACAAGGCTACCCTCTTTCTCCTTTCTTTTCTTTTGTTCTCTCTTATTTTTCTCTTTTTGGAGTAGTGGCTGTACTCATGGCCCCCTGGAGATAATTTATTATATTAACTTGCCTCTTCTGCCTGTTTAAGTCTTCCTTCTTCCAGCTGTCTCCTAACAGTTTCCAAATTAGTCTCCAGATCAACGACGTGTATTTCCTGCTCCTGTGCCTTCTCTTTCAACCTTGTTATCAGCTCTTCTTGTTCTTTGCATTCCTAAAAATAAGTTTGTAAATATTAGCTACACATCACAATATTAAATATCAAAATAATATAAATATAGTAATAATAATAATAATATTAACAATAATATAACTATAAAATTACTGTATATCATTATCAATAATAATATTAATAATAATAATAATAATAATACAAACAATAATATTAATAAAAATGATAATAATATTATCAATAATAATAATATTAATATTAATAAAAAAAAATCAGACATTCAATTCAAAATCATTCAAAATAAACTGAAAATGAAGTTGATGCATTCTCTTTAAAAATTATTCATTATTTTGACTTACAGGGTATCTAAATGTTAATACAATATTAAGTAACAATTAACACAATAGCAAATAGTATAATATATTTGTCTGTAAACTTATTTTATACCTTCAAGGAATCTTCATATTTCATTACATCTGTGCTGGCTTGGAATCTCATTGCACTCAGCTGCTCCTTGGTACTATCCAGTTCCATTACCAAACTGGCACACTCAGCTGTTTTCTCCTCAAGTTGCTTCCTGACATCATCTAAGGATGCTTTCACCTCTATATTCTCTTGACTAAAGAATTCAAGACTGTCATGTAATCCTTTGATTTCAACTGTGTTCTCTTCGAGAGTTTTGTTGTCATTGGTAGCAGAGTCACTCCACTTCTTAAGAGCTTCTTCGTTCTCGGTTTTTGCTGATTCTAATAGTTCTGTAAGATCTGAAACCTTGATATTTAAAGCATCATTTTTATCTTTAATCTCAGTTCGCTCCTTGATTAACATCTCAGATTTCTCAAATAATTGTTTACTTTCTCTCTCAGATTTTTCTTTCAATTCGATTAAATCTCTCTCCAACGTTGCTTTTTCATTTAATAAGGCAACTGTTTCCACATCCATCTTTTCTTTTTCCTCACTGAGTGAAATAAACTGAGCCTGTAACATGTCAAACTGTTCTCGGAGGAAAGCCAATTTATCTTCATGCTCCTTCTGTAAGGTTTCCTTGCAGATTTCGAACTTGCCTTGTTCTCCAACTCTGTCTTCTTGAACTTGAATAACCTCCTCTAAGGTTGTTTGTATCTCTCTGGTAGTAGCTGATTCCTTCTCCAGCGATTTCTCCATTGCATCCAAGCTCCTTTCCAATTCTTCTTTCTCCTGCATTAGGCTTTGGACCTTCTCTCTTAAGGCAGCAATTGATTGTTCTCCATTTAGTGATTTCTGAACCAACTCTTGTTTTTCAGCTTCAATTGTACTCAACATTTCTGCAAGAGCTTGCAACTCCACCTCAGTCTTTTGCTCAGCTTCCTTCTGCTCAAGAACTTCTTTATCCTTTTCTTGAAGATGGCAGGAGAGAGCTGCTTCTTTTTTGAACAAGTTTTCACAGTCATTCTTGAGAATGATGTTTTCTGTTTGCAACTTGGTCAACTCTTCTTCTTGAAGACAATTTTTCTTCTTTTGTTCTTTAATGGTGTCAATTGACTTTGAAATCTCAAATTCAAGAGCATTAATATTCTTTTTAAGTTCCTTATTTTCATCTAATAAATTTTCAACCTCAAAATTTCTGTCCTGTACAAGTTTTTCAAAGTGTGAACGTTGGGATTTTTCAACTAAAATGGCATCATTACTGGCCTGCAGATTCTCTTTTAGTGTCTTCTTCTCCATCACAATACTATGTAATCGCTCCTGAATGCCTGATGATTCTCTTCCATTATCTGTTGCATCCCTGTTATCGTCTTCAGACTTCTGCAACATTTCTTCTTCAGTGTTTGAGCAATCTATCTGACTGAAGATTGTTTTTAGATTTAAAAGTTGCTCTTTTAACTCCTGAACTTGGATCTCTGTTTGGATGACCTTGCCAGCTAAATCTCCCTTTGAAGATTCTAGCTCAAATTTTTCATCTACCAGTTTTTGTTTTTCCTGCTTTAGACTCTCAAAATCTTTAGACAACAAACTTATATTATGCTCATTATTACTCAGTGAATTCTTTGTATCTTTAAGTTCGCTTTCCAATTCCCTTTTACGCAATTCCATTTTCATTAAAGTTTGATTCAGTTCTTCAACTTTAGATAGTTCTGTATTTTTTTCAGCTTGATACTTGTGAGATTCTTCTAATTGTTTTTTGTAACTTTCTTCTAATTCATTTACTTTTGCATTTAATTCGGATATTTTTCCAGATGACTGCTCTTGATTATCTTTTAGACTTCCCTCAAGTAGCTCAATTTTTCGAATTAGTTCTTCTTTTATACCTTTCAAATTTAAGTTTTCTGTTTCCACATCATTCAATCTTGATAGAAGTTCATGTACTTTAGAAGCTGAATCATAATGACTAGAAGCTTTAACATTCTTTTCGTCAACCATACCTTCCATTTTTAATAACAATTCCATGTTTTTTGACTCAAAATTTGCAAGTTTTGATTCAAGATCTTGAATAAGCTCATCTTTTTTCAATATCACAAGATTTGAACTTTCCTGTTCATTTGTAAAACTAGTCACCTGCAACCTAAGACTTCCTACAATGGTCTCCTGCTCAGCGATTCTTGATTGCAATTCAAGCTCAGTTTTAGACAGGAATTTTTCACGACTTTCATGCTGCTTATTTAAACACTCAATCCTGTCACACAAATCTGTTTTCATCTGTTCAGAATCTTTCAACTTTGCCTGAAACTCATCATCCATTTTAGCAATTTGTTCATTTTTCTTCTGACATTCTATCTCAGACTTCTCTAGCTTGTACAATGTATCTTGTTTGAAGCGTTCTGCTTCCTCCTGAAACCTGCTTAACCTCTCCTCTGTTTCCAAAGCAAGTTTATGTAAATCTTCATTCTCAGTTTCCATGGAAGTAATTTGTCGTCGGAGTTGCCTGTTAAGCTCCTCACACTCTTGAAAATCTTTATAGATTTGGGAATAATGTTCATCTTTGATCTCTTCTTCTGGAACACTTGTGCTCAAAATTTCATTTGTAGCCTGAAAGAGTTCAATATTGCGTGTTTACTAATACAAGGTTAATAAGCTTTCATGTAAGAAAAACAACAAAAACAACCCCAGAATCTATTATATTTTTTGCAGACATTACAATAAACAGGTACATTACTTTTTTTCTTCATTTGGCATTACATTAAAAAAAAAAAATTTAATTAATATTATTAAAAATTTGTTTCAAATTTTGGGGTGGAAGACAGGAAACATTAATTATAAGGGCTTCTTATTTTCATTATCATTATTAAATCCTAAATTTCAACATTATTAAATCTTAAATTTTAATAGAGATGTGGTTAAACTCTATTATAATGAATGTATTGCTCATTGGTTGGTTTTAGTGAAGCCACTGATGTCATGTTGGAAAACCCAAAAACGTTGCAAATACATTATCACTGGGCACAACTTTTGAACTGGTGTGACAATAACCAACAATACAACATCGCTTGACAGGCGTTTTTTGTGGTTACAGGATATGAAAAAATAATTTTATAAAATATTAACTTAGTATTGCAAGAATCTAAATTTTTATCAATAATTTAGACTTGACTAGACATCTGATAATGATACAGTCTCTATTCAATATTTTTTTCTGTGACTGTCTTTGTCTTCTTGCCTTGCATTTTCTGAGTTCCAGACAATGATCTAGGCTTTTATGTGTTTCCTTTATTTGACTCATTTGTACTCTATCTGCAAAAGTGATTTTATATATGTACGTTACTTGGGCTTTTGCATATTTATTTATTTATTTATTTCAACAATATTTTACGAGGGTGGTCCATCCATCCGGAGATGATCATTAGGGACCCTCAATACATAACACAAGTAACAAAGGAAATATAAATAGAAAACAAAGAAATTAAAATGAAAAAAAAAAAAAAAATAAATAAAAAATAAATAAATAAATTTTTTTTTTTAATAAATAAAAAATTTTAAAAAATAAAATAACTAAGTAACAAAGGAAAAGAAATTATTACATAAAACTATATTATATAAATAAAAATTTAAATTAAAATCAAATTGACTATAAAATAATTAAAAGCAGAATAAAATAAAAAGGCACAAAAAAAGCAAAAAATAACAAAGTTAAAAATAAAATTTAAAAAAAAAAATTATATGCCATATGGATATGGCATTGATGGCCACAGTTTTTTTCTGTACAATAATTGGCCAATGAGCAATCCAGCCACAGCAATAATGATCAATGGGTTAAAGCAAACCTGTGAGCTGAGACTGTTCATACTGGTGGTTCTACTTGGTGGTTGCCACAAATGCAAACCATGACTAAAGTTTTTCCTTGCAAAAGTCGGCCAGACTGCATCAAGGTCGTTGCCAGTTGGGCTCAAATCAAACTGAACACCATTCAAATCATAAAGATCATTGATCAATATTGAGGTGAGCTGCGGCTTCGAGAGAAATGATTTTGGGGAGTACCAATCACTTTTAAAAGAAAAAATAATAATTATAAATACAATATATAGTCTTGAACAGCTAAAATGAACAATAATAAAATGAGTCTGTAAATAACATTTAATAGTTAATTAACAACAATCAGTATTAATCCATAGCCTGCCAGTCAAAGTAGACTATTTATAGAACACATATGATGTTTTTATATCAAATTAAATACAAAATCATCATATTATGTGTTTGTACTAACAAAATTTAATACAAAATCTTTATGTGTTCTGTATTACATTAGTTTACATAGGTTTTTTCAACTTGATTAATTCAATTTTTTATTTTTGAATAAAGGAGAAAATGAACTTAATTTGTAGTGATGGATGTTACAAGCCCGCATATAAAAGAATTCTTATTCTTGGGCTGTACATTGGCCACAAGATGGACAAGAAAATTTGACATGACTTGAAGAAGATCTACCTCCCTCTTTCTGATTTTCCTAATTCATCTTTTTGGTAAAAGATTTCTTGCTCTTTTGTGTTAGTAGCTGTGAGCACTAGAATATGCCATGCCATACAGTAATAATAATCATTATAAGTCTATTGTGATGTCATCATTGTAACTCTAATGTTATCTTTCTATCCCAAACCATGCACTTTCCATTGGGGCCCTTAACACAACACAACTAGGCCATCGGATCAAAAACTTATAAGATGTAATAATTTGCCTATCCAAATACCGCTATTTTAACTGCCAATCCCTAATATTGTGGTCTAAAAGCACATTTAGGACCATTCTAAGCCATAAAAACTCTCCCTGTGAATCCTACAAGGGAGTTTTTATTCCAGGCCAATTGACCGGATGCGTTGTCTGCCCCTTGGTTCGGACCCTCTGTCAGACATGTCTGACCATTGTTGGCAAATTTCTGGCACCACCGCTGGCTAATACACCAAGTTGATTAAATATATTTACAGTAGCAAACATTAAAAAGAGGGTGATTAATAGTAGAATTGTAATTAATATAGTTGATATTCATACACTAAAGGAATTAACTGGGTTAAATTAAAGCATGAAATACATTCCTTTGAGACCTGCAGGCATTTGAAGTGGTTGGCGCACCGGTTGTGGCTTGGACTCCCAACCTTGAGGTCGGGGGTTCGAAACTCTCGCTGTGCAAGTCGCTGGTGTCCTTGGGCAAGGCACTTTATCTACGGTTGCCTCTCTCCACCCATTGTTCTAACCTGGTTGGGATCAATAATTATTTTGTTGTTATGAAGTGTTTTGTTTGAGGACACAATTGAATTTCGTTTAGTGTTTCAATGTGATCCATATGTGTTTGATCCAATGACCGGGGTAATAATGTGAAGCGCTTAGAGGCTTTGTTAAGGCATTAAGCGCTATATAAGAACGACATATTATTATTATTATTATTTGGCAATTTTGTTCATGCATTAATGTAACCTTTATATAACAATTTCCATCTAGTGTATAAAAGGTAACAATACTAATTGCACTGGCAATTTTTTGCGAAGAGATCTTGATGGTCCATTGACTGATTGTACATTTTAAACCATTATTACCTGGTAACTTTCCTATTGGTAAAACATTGTTGAAGAGTGTCCGCTAACCGTTGGTGAACCAAACTGTAGCGAATAAAAGCACGCCCTCTACCAAGTGATGTCCGAACCTGTATCACAAATAGGAAACACAATATATAAGAGTTTGCATATTAATTCTGATGAACTTAAAATTGTCATAATCGCTCCACAAACTCTTCTATGCATGGTACATAGGCTACTTAAACAGTAATTATCATTAGATGAAATAGCAGAGAATCTCAGATTTGTTTTCATATAAAAAATTGCAACTTTGGCAGTTAAAATAAAGACCTGAATTAAAACAGGAAGTAGTATTCATCTTCAAAATTCAGAGAGCTTCAAATTCCTCTATTGCTACTCAAATTTGTCAAAAAAATTACTAAACAAAACATTATTCTTGCCTCTGACATCCCTTTGACAAACTTGATGCCATCGTTAAACCCTTTGGTCCTGTTAAGGCAGTTAACAAAATAATCCCAATATTCTTTCTTCGGCCCGATCAAAGAATAGCGAACTGAAATAAAAGAGAATAAAAATAAAGGATATATAAGAATATAAGAATCACTTTTAATATCAATTAAATTTAAAAACAAAGCAATCAAAATAATATCATTATTCTTACATTATACAGACCATCAAATTGAAAGAAAAAAATAATACAATAATTAAGTCTCATGCCTCCACTCTCGCAACCCGACAAGAATCTCCCGAAGAATAACCTATCTGCAGCAAATCCATTAAATCTGCATTTTTTTTACTATCGGACTACCCCTTTATTATCATTTGTCTCACAGAAGTGAGTGTAGATTGGTATCACCGTAAGTAAGGAAAACTACACTGTAGTACACAACTTCATAATTGACCATCAGTTCTACTTTTACCATTTTTGTTATGGGCTCCGTAGAGACCATTAAAAATTGCATCAGTGATGATATTTCACATCTCCTGTGCGGGGTATTGGGATAAGTTTTCAACTAGCAATAATCACGCCTCGGATAAACCTCATTGGCTATGATATCGCCTCTGCGCAAAGATACTTTCAACTATTCTAAAATCCTTTATGTAGTACACTACTTTTAACAACGAACAGGTGTTCTATTTTGCAAGCTAGTTTTCGTCTACACTATTTCATAAACATTGGTACTAAAATGTATCTATTTTTATATTATTACTTACCAAACCAGTACAAATGATATAAATATTTACAAAATATAAATAAATGACAATCATTTGACGAAATAAAGGTTTCCCAAGGCTTATTAATATTCATTAGGTATTTTGCCAATAGAGGGCGCTATGACGATTTCTTAAAAAACCAGACTGTAATACAGTACTACACATTTAAGTACACTTAAAATACAATACAGTTAAACAGTTTTACCATCAGCTTGCTAATATTCATTTAGAATTTTAGGAGTGTCTGTTAGATATCTAGGATAATAATTAATTAGAATATCATTTTTTATATTAATGCTTTTTTTTTTTTTTTTTTAAATCAGCTGTACATTACTGTACTGTGGTATTTTGTATAAGCATACCTGTCTTGTACAGTACTGTACATTCTTATGTTAAGCTCTAAACAGACTTGGGTGGAATACTCAAACCACCGCCCCTCCCCCCCACAAGGAGAAAAAAAACAATCATTTGCATTCAGTCTGGAAATTTGGTGAGAAAATATAACACTTCAAATAAGTTGAAACTCAGACCCGCACACATCACTGGATGTAGAATAATCTGTTAGAACTCACTTTTGAATTCGCCTTGCATAAGATATTCCAGACGTGAACAGAACTTGTGTAATGTCACAGAATCATCAGTGACTGGATACTTATATTCATCAAATTCCTTCTTTAATTCTTTAGCACAACCTGAAATTGATAAAGGAAAGTAACAGTAAATTAATGATCCTAGTTAATTAACTACAAAATTCAGGTTGGGCATGCATTATTTACTGTGTATTTGAAGCCATGTTGTACACAACACCAATGATATTAATGTGTGTTTTACAGCGTATTAACATCATTAGGCCTACACTCCTCTCCTGCCGTGGTGTACGTGGCCTTCACAGTACACAAAATACTGTACTGTAGACACCCTTCCCCCTACCCCCATCATAGAAAAAAACACAAAACGTTCTTATAACGTTGGCAAACATTGTGGTTTGGTATATCCCAAAATAACATTCACAAAACGTTGCAGGAACGTTCAGTTATGACGTTGGGAAATTACATAATTAAGTACTTTATTACCAAAACTGTAACGTTATTATAATGTTCTTATAACATAGTATTGTTACCTGGGCCTGTATCTGTACATTTGTTATGGCATTAGAAATACTGTAAAATTTAATTAAACTATTGTCTTTGTGGAAGGCCAACCTAGAAATTGTATAAATAATTAAAAGTTCATCCATCAAATGCACTTTTAGTGTTATAAGCTAAAAATAATGAAATTAAATATTTCAATTGCTAACTTTGCATCATAAGTAACTTTAATTGCAAATAATAAAAAGAAAATGTGTTCTTCTGTAATTAAAAGATATAAAATCATTACCAAAATCATTACATCCATTGGTTAGTAATAATTGGATTGTGGAAAAAAACTGCAAATCTTTCTTCTTTTTTTTAAAACTTTTTAAATGAGCAAGTTTCACTGATTTTGTTATGGATTAACTAGATCTTACTAAAGACTAAGATCTTACTAAGTATAAAATGTTTTTTTTTTTCCTGATAACTGTTTACATTTTCACTAATTCCAAGGTTTCCAGAAATGTTTCAATTGATTGTTTGCCTGGTTAGTCAAGTTTGATTTCCATTTTTTAAAATCTTTAACAACAATATAGTATTTTCCTTTAATGCAAATATTTTGCCACATTTAGGGCCTAGGCCTACAATAACTTGTCTTCATTAAAAAAAAAAAAAAATTTTATTTAAAAAAAATGTATTTCATACTTTGTAGATCTTGCACAACTTTTGGTATTGTTTCCTGTTCCATGTCTGTGTTCCTCCGTCATTCAAATAATAAAATGGCTCAATGTACACTCAGCCTCCAAGACCAAGATTTCCGCTAAATATTTGCAGACATACCTGCCACTTTATCTATAGCAGACTAGATGATAGAGAAAGTGGGCCAGGCCTCTTCTCTAGGTAGTTAGGCCTAGTAGTAAGTCTATGAAGAGGAAAGAAAGAGAATAAGTAGTTATAATTATTTATATAACACAATGGAAACGAGTAAGCTATTATATAGTAATTAATGTTTTACTTAGCCCATAGTCCTAGGCCTATATAGAAACACTATCAGATACACTAAATGTACGCTAGAGTATCTAGGAGGAGGCCTAGGCTAGTGATCCTCACTCTCAGTCGTCAGGCTGCCTGTATGTATGTAGTACTAGGCCTAGGCCTATGTGTATGCTTTCAACTGCAACTTTCAACGAACGAGCAGTTTGTAAGTCTAAAGTCTAAGCCTAGTAGGCTGGACTACAAATTACGTTACAACTTCAACAATCTATTAGTCACCTGATTAAAAAAAAAACTACTAAAGTATGTATTTAATATTTACGTGTTTCAGCAATTTATTTGTTTGAAAAATCTGATTGTTATTAATTCACGCGATGTAAATAAACATCATCTGTTGTATTTTAGTGGGGTGTCATGTGACATCTTTTGTATGATGAGCGCCACCAATGCTATTATATTTTTTTCATTTTCATGTACTGTATTTTTAACTTTATATTCACGTCCCCCACATATCTTTAAGGCGGGGTGGGAGTTGGTCCCCCTCATGTTTCGTCCGTAATGAAAGTTCCTGTGTCAAGAAAATTCATGAAAATTGTTGAACTGTCAGGAAAAATTTGGTCCGGGGCAAAAATCGGTTCGGCGGATTGATGGCCTCATAATTACTTGCCAAAATGAAGTCCACATAAGCCAAAATGAAGTCCACATAAGCCAAAATCAGTCCGCCGGACCGATTTTTTTGCTGCACAGCACACTTGGACGTGCATACGCTACCTAGCCAATCACAATGATGTCTCTAGCTGAAGCCTGAATTTGCATACATCACCTTATATAAGAGTTTAAGTTCGGAATGATCAGCACAGTATTTTGGTTTAGTTGATAGTAGAGCCTTCATGGTTAGTGAACATTGGAATAACAATAAGGGAAGACTAAGCTATGTACACTGATATATACCTGTCTCTTATACACATCTAGATGTGTATAAGAGACAGATATTCACGTCCCCCACATATCTTTAAGGCGGGGTGGGAGTTGGTCCCCCTCATGTTTCGTCCGTAATGAAAGTTCCTGTGTCAAGAAAATTCATGAAAATTGTTGAACTGTCAGGAAAAATTTGGTCCGGGGCAAAAATCGGTTCGGCGGATTGATGGCCTCATAATTACTTGCCAAAATGAAGTCCACATAAGCCAAAATGAAGTCCACATAAGCCAAAATCAGTCCGCCGGACCGATTTTTTTGCTGCACAGCACACTTGGACGTGCATACGCTACCTAGCCTGTCTCTTATACACATCTAGATGTGTATAAGAGACAGTTATTATAATGTTCTTATAATGATGATGTTAATGATGTGATTATTCGTTGCGTATTACGTAATTCCTTGAGAAAGAATGTGTCTTTGTGGAAAATCCAAAGGTGTATACACCTGGCCCTCATAGCTTAGTTGGTAGAGTATCCGAACGGTATCGGAAGGTCTTGTGTTCGAATCCCAATGGGGGCATAGGTTTTTCTCACATATTTATTATGTATATAAAATAAGTGAATGAATGTATATGTGGATAATTATGATTTACAACATGCTTACATGTCTTACATCTACTTCTATTACACCTAGTCATGCCTACATTATCTGCTGGATGTATTGCTTTCAATCTTGACTTAACTAACTGGTCCTTCAAGCTACGATCACGTTTATAAGAAATCATGGGAGGCTCCTTAAAAATGTCTTTGGTGGCTGGGTCTGATTCCAAAATATAATGATTGTCTGTTATAATCTTAGCAATCTTCTTAGAGGTAGGATGGTAAGTTAAAACCAGAGGCGTGCGTTGTGTGGTGATTCAATGCTTCCTCATGAGTAACAGTATGCACTTTCTCCAATGATTTACTAATGATGTCAGTGGGATATCCGCATTGATTGAAGAATTCAGCCATTTCTTGGGTTTTTGATTTAAAGTCCTCGTCATTACTACATATCTTTCTGAGTCTCAGAAATTGTGAATATGGTATGGCCTGTTTGCACGATGGTGGATGCGAAGAAGCGTAATTGAGGTAAGTATGAGCATCCGTAGATTTATAATGCACTGATGAAGTGAGCCGTAATTCCTCAATAGATAATTTAATATCTAAGAAAGCCATCGAATTTGAGGAAATTTCATAAGTGAAGTCAATAGCTGGATGAAAATTGTTAGCGAAATTAATAAATTCATGTAATTCTTCAATGCTCCCACTGGTAGCCCCTATGCAGTCATCAATATAACGTTTAAATAGTTCGGGTTTAGGTCCTTTGAATTGTGCCAAGATTTGGTGTTCGAGATGACCCATGAAGAGACAGGCAAACGATGGTGCCATTTTGCTACCCATGCTAACTCCAGACATTTGGCGATAATATTTATGGTTAAAGGTAAATGCTGTAGTACACAAGACCAGTTCTGAAAGTCGAATTATAGTGTCCACTGAGCATATACGGGTTTGTTACCGTCTTTCTCCAAAAAATATCTAGGTGCGACTAAACCATCGTTGATAGGTATAGATGTATATAAAGATTTAACGTCCATAGTAAATAATTATATATCCTCCAGCGTTTTTAAATTCGAAGTTTTCAAACATTTTAACGGCTTCATTAGTGTCCTTAATATATGTGGGTAATTTCTGAACAATAGGTTGCAAAACACTGTCCACGAATTCGCTAATGACAACAGTAGGACTATTACACGCCGACACAATAGGTCTTCCAGGGTTATCAGGTTTATGAATCTTAGGTAACATATACCAATTTGGACAGGTAGCATCGGTGTTGATTAAACTGTTAGCTGTAGCGGGAAGTTGATTATTCCTAATTAAAGATTTGATAGTCTGTTTTACAGTTGCTATATCACTAGAAGTCGGATCACCTGGAAGTGGTAGATAAGTAGCTTGATTAGATAATTGACGTTCTCCCTCTGAAATATACAAATCTCTTCTCCAAACAACTGTAGCTCCACCTTTATCTGCTCGCTTAATAACATAATCGTGATTATTTCTCAAAGTTCGTAGCGCCAACAACTCTCTAGTAGATATATTACGTGATTTGATCCGATGTTTCATATTAAATTGTCCAATATCATGTCTGCATTTCTGGATATACAAATCCAAAGAATTAAATTTACCAGGAGCAGGAGTCCAATTAGATTTTTTTCGATTGAGTTGTTGGAATTCATCCTTGTTGAGTGTTGTGGAACTCTTATCACGAAACTCTGCTTTAAGTCTTAGGCGTCTATAATATTGTTCCAGATCAGATTTGACATTAAATTCATCAATACATTTCTGTTGAGGTATGAATGACAGACCTTTAGATAAAACTGACCTCTCATCATCCGTTAGAAGTAAATCTTCGGGAATGGTAACCACAAGTTTGGATGTGTCAACATTTCTCTGAGTAGATGCAGT